TGAGGTACGGACCCTGAGAGGCTGTGCCACCCAGCATGGATTCTCCTGGGGGGAACATTTCCTTGTCCTCTGTAAAGGCAGAGCGCAGGGGTCTGCACACGAGGGTAGTGTGGAGTGTCACGTTGTGCCACCCCGGTGCTGACTCTTGTCCTGTTTTGTCCCCACAGCGGCATGGCAGAGAGGAACGCCAACTTCGAGGCGCTGCCAGAGGACTGGCGATCGCGGCTGAAGCGGAGGAAAACCGCATCAAGCACATGAGGCGTGCCCTACGCTTCGTTTGTTGGTTTTTTTTACAGATGTACAGTTCAGACCCCTTCACTTGACCGTTGTCCAATAAATTGTAGCAGTTTGGGATGTGGTGTCTGGTTGAACAGGGCCCATCCCTGTCCCTCCTGTGGTGGCAGGAGGCTGGGGGCATTTTTGGGCCAGTGTGCATGGTGGCCCTGGGTTGGGCTGATGCTGTGGGGCCAGTTGTAGCCCTGTTCCCCTGGGTGTCTGCCAGCACAGCGCAATCCCTCTGGCTCCTTTCCCAGCTCTGCTCTCGCGTTGCCCTGTCCCTCCTCACTGCTGGCTCATTGCTCGGCAACCGCGTCCCAGTTCCCTGACGCTACCAGGACTGGAGAAGGGTTGTGCCGGATCTCTCGCAGCCATGTGGCCCTTGGGGCACCCCACTGCCTGGGTCGGGGGCAGTTTTGGTGGAGGACTGGGTCTTGAGCCCTACGACCGCTTCATGTACAGCCACCTCCGCTACTACGGCTACTTTCCAGGCGCTACTACGGCTACTTCCAAGGTGAGCCCTGGCCACCACTGGGCCCTGGCTGCAAGGGCACATCCCCTTGTGTGACCCCTGGGCTCTTGGAGCTGCAGCGGTGTTCCCCTTAAGGCCAGAAGAGGAGTGGGCAGAAGAACCCCTCATCCCCCTCTGAGCAGCACCCCATGGAGGCACCCAGCACGGTCAGCACTGCCCCCAGACACTGGTGGGGTCCTGGGCAGAAGCGGAGCTGTGAGTTGAGCCCCCGTCACCCCCATAGCAGCCTAGGGCCTGAGGCTGAGTCCTCCCAGCATGGACAGTGTGGTGGGGGCCTGTCCCTGCCCTTGGGGAGGGGTGGGTGATTTTGGAGAAGTTCCCAGCCTGGGCTTCCAGCTCTGCCCAAGCTGTGCCATGGAGCTGGGGGTGCACCAGAGCCCCCCAGCCCCTCCTGGTCCCCTTGCAGCCCCTGGGATGCTGGAGCTGGTCCCCAGGCAGGGCAGACTGGTCCTGTCAGCACAGCACTGCAGGTCCCTGGGGAAGCCCCAGGCTCTCTTTGCCCTCTCCCCGGCGCAGGGACCCCTGCCTGCTCCCCGCTGGCCTGTGGAGTGTGAAGTCATCAAGGAGATGATCGAGCACATCGGTGAGGGAGCGCTCCCCCCTTCCCACCCCTACACTGGACTTCTGCTATGCCCATAGCTCCCATCTGTGCTCCCCCAGAGTGGGTCCCCCCTGAACCAGAGCCCTTCTGCCAGCCCCCAGACCATGAGCTGGCCCTGGGCACCCTTGGCGAGGAGCAGGGCACTGTCGTCTACCACCTCAGTCCAGGTAGTGGGGAGCAGGCAGCACCCCTGGGTGCCCACTTGGTCTCCACAGACCCCCATCCCTGTCCCTTGGGGCTTCCCCCTGCAGCACCCCAAGGCTCCTGTTTCACCCATGCTCGGGCTGGGGGGGCCCCGGGCCCCCTCTCCTCACCGGCAGTCCCTTTGGAGGGTCCCCAGGACACCACACTGCTCTTCGAATCCCGCTTCGAGAGTGGCAACCTCCAGAAAGCCGTCAAAGTGTAAGAGAGGGGCCGGGGAGGCGAGAGGGGGGCAGCTGCAGCAGGGCCAGGAGCCAGAGCGTGGCCCGTCCCACCATGCAGGGGTCCCTACGAGTATGTGCTGACGCTGCGGCCAGACCTGTACACTGCCAAGCACACTCAAGGGTTCTACTTTCGTGTCCAAAACACCCGGCGGGACCCTCTCTACCGCTTCACCATCACCAATCTGGTGAAACCCAAGAGCCTCTACAGCCAGGGCATGCGCCTGCTGCTCTACTCCCAGCGGGACGCCCAGAACCGCGGCATCGGCTGGCGCCGGGTTGGGACTGACATCCGATATTACCGGGGTGGTGGTGGCAGGGAGGAACTGGCCACCTTCTGCCTCTCCTGGACCTCACGCTTCCCCCACGATGGTGACACTTGCTTCTTCGCCCACTCCTACCCCTACACCTACTCTGACCTGCAGCGCTACCTGCGGGCGCTGGTGGCCGACCCGGTGCGCTCACAGCACTGCGCCGTGCAGCCGCTGTGCCGCAGCCTGGCCGGCAACACCATCTTCCTGTTGACCATCACCAGCCCTGCTGGCACGGCAGCCAAGAGGGTGGTGGTGCTGAGCGCCCGCGTGCACCCAGGGGAGAGCGGCGGCTCCTGGGCCATGCAGGGTTTCCTCGATTTCATCCTCAGCGCCCACGCTGATGCCCAGCTCCTGCGCCAGCTCTTCGTCTTCAAGGTGGTGCCCATGCTCAACCCTGATGGGGTGGTGGTGGGC